ACTCAATTCTCTTCATTTCAACCATATCTCTGAACGAGTATCTCGTCTTGAAACTGAGCTGGCCAACCATCAATTGGACCTGCAGCATGACATGGACAATCAATCCTTATTGGAGCAAGAAATGCTTCTCCGCTCCAAACTTTCCTCCCTGAAATTTGCAGAAAAGCAATTCTGCAGTCAGAAGATTAAGTGCAACTTTCTTAAGGAAAGTGATACAGGCTCAAAGTTTTTCCATGCCTTACTGAATCATAATCACCGGAAGAATTTTATTCCTGCCATTATGACTTCTCAGGGCCACCTTACATCTTCTTTAAAGGAAGTGGGCTCGGTCTTTGTGAATTACTTCCAACAACAGCTTGGTATTCCAACTCCTGTTCTTCCTATTGATAGTGCAGTGGTTCAAAGCGGTCCTTGTCTCTCCTCTGGCTCCCAAGATCTTCTACTTGCTCCGGTTAGCTGTGAGGAAATTCGAAAAGCGGTCTTCAGCATAGGGGATGATAAAGCACCAGGTCCTGATGGCTATTCCTCACTTTTCTTCAAGCAAGCATGGCATATTATTAGGGAGGATTTCTGTTCAGCTGTCCAGGATTTTTTCCATTCTGGAAAGCTCCTCAAGCAACTTAATCATTCCATTATTGCTTTGGTTCCTAAATCAAGCAATGTAACTTCTCCGTCTGATTTCAGGCCAATATCTTGCTGTAATGTGATATACAAGGTGATTGCAAAGATCCTCGCTACCAGGCTTGCTCTTGCACTAATGGATATCATCAGCCCCTATCAAAATGCTTTCTTGGGTGGGAGGTTCATGAGTGATAACATTAATCTTGTTCAGGAACTTCTCAGGCAGTATGGTAGAAAACGTTCTTCACCTCGTAGCCTTTTGAAAGTTGACTTTAGGAAGGCCTTTGATTCTGTCCAGTGGAATTTCCTGGAAAACCTCCTCCGTCATCTTGGGTTCCCAGTTCCATTTGTATCTCTTATCATGCAATGTGTCTCCACTACCTCATATTCTGTTGCAGTTAATGGTGATCTTCATGGGTTTTTCCAGGGTCAAAGTGGAGTCAGACAAGGCGACCCTCTCTCTCCCTATCTTTTTCTATGCTGCATGGAGTATTTCTCTCGGATGCTGAAGTTAGTTTCCCAGCAGGAGGGCTTTCGGTTCCATCCTAAATGTGGAACACAAAATATTACTCATTTGGCTTTTGCAGATGATATCCTTCTACTATCTCGAGGTGATCTATCTTCAATCCGATGTCTTCTTCATCAACTCACTGTTTTTGGACAAACCTCTGGGCTGGTGATCAATCCACAAAAATCGTCCATTTATTTTGGGGGAGTTAGCAATGCTCAAAGATTAATCCTTCTCTCGGAAACAGGATTCAGGGAAGGTCTCTTTCCTTTCACATACCTTGGGGTTCCCTTAAGTCCCCACCGGCTGTTAGCAAGCCAATTTTCCCCTTTATTGCAAGATTTGGAACTAGTAATTCAGGGCTGGATTGGAAAGAACCTCACATATGCTGGTCGTCTAGAACTTCTACGTTTTGTGCTTTATGGCAAAGTTCATTTTTGGTTGAATATTTTCCCCATGCCAGAAATAGTTATTCATAGCATAATCAGCATTTGCAGGAATTTTCTGTGGACTGGAGATGCCCGGCGACATCACTCTGCTTTGGTAGCTTGGAAAACTCTATGCCTGCCTAAAACTGAAGGCGGCCTTGGTCTCTTTGATCTTAAAGCTCGTAACCGAAGTTTCCTTACCAAACAACTTTGGAATATTCATCTTAAAACAGATTCCACCTGGATTAGGTGGGTGCACCACTTCTACTTAACTAGGGACACCATTTGGCATGCCCAAGCTCACCAGCACTCATCTCCTCTATGGAAAGCTATCCTCTCTGTCCGGGACAACCTTGTTCATCATAGTGGACATCCAGGTGAGAGCATTCAGTTGCTACGTAGCTGGTCCTCCAGTAAAGAGCCTTTTGTAGCTCATGCCTATCAATTCTTTCGGCCATCTGGACCAACTAACCCTTGGCATCGGGTAGTTTGGGAGCACTGGTCATTGCCCAAATACAGTTTCATCCTTTGGTTAGCTGTCTTAGGCAAGCTCCGCACTCGTGATAGACTTCAATTCCTCCATGTTGATCCTATTTGTGTGTTCTGTAGCCAGGTAGATGAATCTCACCAACATCTATTCTTCCTATGTGGATGGACAAATCGTCTATGGGCTTACATCAAGTCTTGGTTGCGGATTGATAGGAACATGAGCACGTTACAAAGTGCTCTTCGCTGGTTACATCCAAAGAAAATAAACATGGATGCTCGTATGAGGAGAGTCTCCCTGGGCATAATAGTTTATCTCATATGGGAGGAGCGCAACAGGAGGATTTTTGAGAAGAGAACCAGAAGTATCAACTCTCTTTTTAGAAGGTTTCAAGTCCTGTTCTTCATCATCTTCCACTTCCATGAGAAGGATCACTCCCTCTTGCATATTGGATAGAGGGGCTGCTTTGATAATGGGGAGGACTTCGTTCGGTAATGGTCTCATCTTGTATAACATGAGATATTTTGCTGATGTGTTCTCTCCTCATTGGCTGGTTCCATTTCTCTTCCTTAGCCTGCCTGTTGTTCCTTATGTTCTGTATGGGATTGCATAAGCTTGCATATGTTTCACGTTCTTTTACTTTGATTAATTCTTGGCATTTCTATTTGGCCTCACATGTTGTGAGCTGAACGTGCATGGTTTCTCGGCTTTGCATGGGCACTGCATGGTCTTCCATTCAATTGGGCTGGTTGGTCTTTCATTCTCTGGATGTAATGATGAAAGGGCTGTGCGTGCTCTTTCATGTGGCCTTAACTGATTGGTAATTCAATTGTTGGCTGCCTACACCGGTTTTATTCTCCTGGCTGATCTTTAGACATTTGTTTTCATTTCCCTATTCTTTGTATCTGCTTGGATGAGCTATTGATGGTCTCCCACTAGGCTGGCTCTATTTCTGCTAATGATAGCTGTCTCCACATGAATGGCAGAAATTTATTCGTACTTTAAAATCCTGCATGGCTGCATGGCTTCCATTTGTGCTCCTCGGCTTGTCTACTGTAAGCTACAACATGTGAACTCCTGATCTGGTCTCTCCTGCTAATGATTCATTCCTCAATCTGCCCTACAGCTATCCACGTCAGCTGGTGGTGTCTCGGCATGGCTGGGCTGAGTGCATGGCATGGGGGTTGAGCAGCTATTCTTGCTAGTTACCCTACGGTTCTATTTTGGCATGAATAATTGGCGGTTTCTCTGCATGGCTGGGCTGTCTTCATTGCCTTCCTGGCTAATATAATGTTGCCTTCAGCTTATCTCCTTGTCTCGGCTTTATCTGCATGGGTGGAGCAGCTGTCGCATGATCCTTCCTTCAATATGGTCGAGTGGGAATTTCTGATTGGCTATATTTTGTTCTCCAAACATAATGATACATCTGTCCATAATTTTTCATGTTCGCTGCCACTATTCTTGGATGCTAGTGTATTTATATGTTCTGGTTGGCTCCTACCTGGGCAGTCCCTATCTCTGCAAGGATGGTTTTTTTCGTGGTGTGGTCGTTATCATCTTGCTCTAACTGCCTTATGGATCTTTGCGGCTCGTCCTAATTAAAGGGAGTGAGGGGTAGGAATTATTCTTCTCGTTCTTCTTGGTCCAGCAAAATTCTGGTTGGGATTGAGCATCTTTGATTGGTTGGTTCTTCTCTTTCAATCTTGTCATCCAGGTGGCCCCCGTGTTCTTATTCTCTTGCTCATTTCTAGGCCGAGCCTCCTTTATCTCCAGAATTGTGGCTGACAATTTCCATGATTCCTGCTTCGTCTTCCCTGTGTCCTTATGTGATTGGCTGGCCCTATATCTGCAAGGAAGGTTTCATACGTCTCTGCAAGGATAAGAATGCTTTAATTGCATGGCTAGTAATTGTCTCCACAAGGATGGCTGAAATTGCTTCGTTCTTTAAATTTCTGCATGGCTTCCTTCTGTGCTCGACTTGCCTACTGTAGGCTCCAATATATGGAAGTGTCTCTGCATGGCTGGACTGCATGCAAGTCATGAAAGTTGAGCAGCTTTCCTATAGTTCTACTTTGGCATGACTAGCTGGTGGCTTCTCTGCGTGGCTGGGCTGCATGCTCGTCGTAGGAGTTGAGCAGCTGTCCTATGATTCTGTTTTGGATGTTATAATGTTGGCTTTGGGTTATTTCCTTGTCTTGGCTTGGCTGGTTGTGAGCCACGTCATCTCTCTAGTTTGTCTGAAGTGTGGCTTCTAGAAGCCTTAGATTCATTTATTTTATGTCTTCATTAATGGGATCCTGTTCCCATTTCGGTTTAGGGTATCTGTTACCCCCTATCTGTACATATTCTATGTTTGCTACTTTTGGTGGCATTGTTACTTTGATCTTAATATATATTCTTACATTGGATCAAAAAAAAAGAAAGAAAGAGCTCTCAGTCTCAGTAGTCAGTAGTAGTGAGCTAGAGAGAGAAACAAGAGAGAGACGCTCTCCTTCCACCTGAAGCTGTTTTCCTCCCGTGTTCATGGCCGTTCACTGCAACTGATTCCCAAACTGTTCCCCGTAACTTATACCCCGTTTATTTTAATTCTCAAATGGCAAAAAGCAAAAGGAAACCTACAGCAACTGTCAAGCGCCCACAGGTCCCTGCTCCATCTCACACAACCCTAGGTGGATCGCTGGTTCTTGGACTCAAGTCAGCTTTTGGTACACTTGAAGGTTCTATTTCCCATTTACCAGGAGCAGATCTATCCCCTCTCCCCGCTGTCATCCCAACCAACGGTACTGGTACAAGTTCTGCCAAAGAGGCAGATGGGTTTTCGGTGCATCACACAAAAGCATCTCTAGATGGGTTCCTTGAAGTTGACCGTTTTGAAGATGAAGATCTTGAAGAAGAACAACTTGATTTCTCTTGTTCAGAGGAGGAATATGAAACATCTCCCCCTCCATCTTGTCCGGCTCCGGTCAGCCCAGTGCCACCATCTTCTCTGAGTCCGGCTGTATTAGAACCATCAGCTAGACCCAAAGGTGCTACTTTTACCCCGTCCAGCTCTGTTCAAACAGGTAAACCTCCTGTCCCCCCTCCTGTTAATGGTAAATGGAGAGATTTATTCTCTACAAACAGAAACATCTCATCTTGCCCGAAGCTCATGCATTTTTCAAACTTACATGATATACCATCCTGCCCATTCTTAACTGAAGACCTGGATCACTCTTGTGATGACTGGAAATTAAATGCCATTGGTTATGTTTCTGGCAAATTTCCCGAGTATAGAGCTTTGAATAGCATTATTGAGAATGTATGGAAATGTGAAGCCACACTTAGTATGCATGAATCGGGTTGGCTTGTCTATAAATTTCAGAATGAAGAAGATAAGTGCTCTGTGTTGTGTGGAGGACCATACCTTGTATACGGTAGGCCTCTCATCTTGCGTCCCATGTCTGAGTATTTTGATTTCTCAACCTCTGAAATGACTCAAGTCTTGGTTTGGATTAAGTTCCCAAACCTGCCACTGAAATGCTGGACCCCTAGGTGCTTATCAAAATTAGCAAGTGTCTTGGGCAAGCCTATACAGAGTGACAAACTAACTGCCACCAAGGAGAGAGTTTCATACGCTTAGGTGCTTGTGGAAGTTGACCTCTTAGCTGATCTCAAATCCTCCATTAATGTCACTCTACCCAATGGTAACACACTCATCCAAAGGGTCATCTACGAGACGTTGCCCAAGTTTTGCAAGCATTGTAAAGTGCTAGGCCACTCCTCTGGAGGGTGTTCCAAGAGTAAGGAAGAGGCCAGGAATGTTGAGAAAGCTGGCTCTGCTAGTATAGCTCCTAAAGGAAATGTCAAAGGCAAAGGAAGCGTCTCTACTCGTCTCAACCCTATTGTGGATACCCTGGTTGATGCCCCGCCTGCTGTTACTTCAACAGTCAAAGTTACCCATGTTGCTCCTCCTCCAATCGATGCCACTGAACTTGTTGCCCCCACTGATCCCTCAGAGTCTTACGTTGCTCAAGATGCTCAGACTAGTTCCCCAGCCAAAGCTACAGGTTCAGAAGAGTGGCAAACTGTTCGTACAAAGAGACATACCTCAGTGAACAAGCGACAACCATCTACTTTTTTACCTACTGAAGGTAACCCGCCATCTCAACAAAATTTTTCCAAGGGAAAAGCTCCTACTTCCTCAGTTGATATTGCTGGCACCAAGGCTCCCCATCTTCCAGGTTCAGGTGCGCTCACCAGGAGCTCTGTTCAAAGGATTTCCAATCCATCTTCTGGCAGTGGTGGGGTTCTTCCCACCCTCCCTCACTCATGATTATTCATTGTTGGAATGTGAGAGGGCTTAATAGCCCTCTCAAACAGCATGAGGTCGCCGGCCTCATGAAGAGTAAGAAGCTTGACTTATGTGGTCTCTTAGAGACTAAGTTATCTTTGGCAAAAGTTGCATACATGCATAAGCTACGGTTGAAGGCTTGGCAATTTGTAAGTAATGCTGAATCTGCATCCTATGCCCGTATAGTTGTATTCTGGAACCCTGAAACAGTGAAGGTTGAAATGCTCCATTTCTCTGCCCAGGGGATTCACGTTATGGTTACAAGCTTGGTGCAAAATTTCTGTTTTACAGCCACCTTCATATATGGATTTAATACCATTACTGCCAGGAGAGCTCTTGGGAGGATTTGAGAAGATGGGATCCGGAGTCTCCATGGTTATTACTTGGTGACTTCAACTCTATTCTCACTCAAGAAGACAAGCATAATGGGGAGCCAGTTTCCACATATGAAACCACAGACTTCCGGGAATGTTGTTCTGATCTGGGGATTACAGACCTGAACTCGACGGGCTCTCATTTTACATGGACAAACGGCAATATCTGGACAAAGATAGATAGAGTTATGGCAAACACTCAATGGTTCACTTTGCAGCAAATGGCTCATGTTCACTTTGGTAACCCAGGAGCCTTCTCCGACCACTCCCCTTCTACTGTCCAGCTGGGTGTACGCGAACTTTGTGGCAAAAGGAACTTCAAATTCTTTAACATGTGGGCTGCCCATCCTCAGTTCTTGGACACCATCTCTCAGCATTGGTCCTTGGATATCTATGGGTCACACATGTATATTCTATGTAAAAAGCTCAAGCACTTAAAGGGCAGGCTGAAAAATTTGAACAACCTCCACTTTAGTCACATTTCGGAGAGGGTTGCAAGAGCAGGGAAAGGGCTGGACGATACTCAGCTTCTCCTTCAAAATGACAGGGACAATGGTGATCTTCTTGTGCTAGAAAAGAAGCAAAGACTGAACCTTGTTAACCTCAAATCAGCTGAGAAGATGTTCTTTGGCCAAAAGCTGAAATGCTCCTTCTTCAAAGATTGTGACAAGGGAACCAGATTCTTCCACTCCTTGATGAGCCAACGGCACAGAAGGCACCATATTCCAGCCATAGTACGAAGTGATGGCATG